TCGAAAGGAAAGAGCCGGGAAGCTAGGTGGGGAGATGATGGGGGCCAGGTGGAGAGGAAGCATGAGTGGTGGGCAGGACAAGAGCCTTGCTGGCCGAGGCAGGGTGGGTGGCAGAGAGCTGGGCCCTGGCCACTTGACCCCAGACCGGGTTCTGGCTCTCGTCTGTGAGCCAGACAGCTGCTGCAGTCACACTGTGTGTTACAAACACTGCTGGGGGTGGCTGTGAGCTGGCATGCCGACAGCAACCCCGTGGCAGTGAGTTGAGTAGCCTCTTCAGAACGAGCTTGCTGAGGCCAAGCCCGTGTCTCCATCTCTTCGGCTCCCTCTACCCAATAGGGAAGGGGGGCAGTGGAGGCTCAGGCTAAGATGGGTTAATAAGAAAGGCCCGGCAATCTGCCTTCCAAAATCAGCCCACAGTAGCCCTCGGCATCACAGAGGTCCACCCTCATGCCGGGATCGCCTGAGTCTCGTCCTGACTGGGCAGCTGTCAGCACCAGCCCCACCCAGTAGAGATAGCGGAGGATCTGGGGGTAGTGAGGTCGCTGACACCAGTGTGCTTGCGCAGGGCGAGGATGGGGAGCCTGGAGAAACAGAGTGGAGCTGGTGGGGGCCGGGGCAGCCTTCTTACTGGGGAGGGTCAGGGGCCCCTCCCCACGGGAGCTGTGAAGGCATAAGAGAAAGTGAGGCTTTTGAATGGGTGGGTGGTGGTCTGCCTGAGAGCTGAGGCTCCTGGGAAGGAGATGGCAGGTGAGACTGGAGGGGTCTCTGGAGCCAAGTGGGCTCTCCTGACCCCTGCCCTTGGGGAAGCCAGGAGCAGAAAGCTCAGATGACAGGGACCCCCTGGAGCCTGGCCCTGATGGCTCACTGTGTGACTGTGGACGTCCAGGGTGGCTTGTCCGCATTGACCTTACACCCTTGTCTGTCAAACGGGACGGTGGGGATGAGGGCTGCAGACTCACCTGGTAGAAAACACACCCAGGTGAGGGGCATCTGGCCTCAGAAAGGCTGCTTTCTCTCTTCCGTTCCATCAGCGGAGCTCCACGTCACTTGTCAACAGGAATGTCTTGGACGAAGACGAGGAGAGACAGTGTGTGTCCCACCTCCAGGGAGGAAGACAGGAGTTCCCAGAATCCTCAGGAGAAGACCCTGTCCACACAGAGGCCTCATTGACTATGATTGACAGGCTAGACTCCACCCCTTCACAAGTTGACAGATGATGTAACTGCCACACACGTGCAGCCCTACGAATGAACACCGTGGGAGAGAAATATACCATGAGTCGGGCTGGTTGTCTTATAAATTCAGGACTATCCTTTTCAGCATGTCCTTCATGCTGCCTGGAATTATACTACATTTCTCTAATCTGCTCGGTTCTTCCACCCCCTGGACGTCTAGTTATTCCTTTTTTGTCCTGTCCTCCAACATCCAACACCTGCCTCCCAGCCGAGACCACCACCCTCATGCTCGCCTGAGGCTGTGCTCTCTAGAAGCATCGAGAAAAGAATGTCCACAGCTCTCCCTGCATCGACCCACTGGCATGCATGTCCCCCCCCACCATGAACTAACCGCTCAGCTCCCCTCGAAGGCTCGCTTCCCCGCCGTGCCCTGGATCCCAGCCCCATGCACACACTCTGGACATGGTTCCAGCAATTCTCCCTCTCTCCTGTCACCAAACTTGTCCTTTCTACTGGGTCACTCTGTCAGAGCATACAACGCACTGTTCTTTCTCACCTCTTAACCTCGCCCGCCTCTGTACCCCCTGCCTCCACATCCTCTCCTCTCATTCTCCCCGAGCCTGTTCTACGCAGCTCACCAGTGCCCTCCGTCTGCTTAAACCAGGGCTCATGCGACGTTGTCCTCTGATTTCACCAAGCAGTACCACGGACCACTCCCTTCTCCTTCAAGATGTGCTATTTGACTTTGACCAGGGTGCCACCCTCCTGGTGGTGCTCTTTCCTCGCTGGCTGCCCCTTCACTGCCCCCCCTCTCTCCTCGTCATCTGCCCAACCTCTACATTTTGAAGTCTCTCGAGGCTCACGCCCCTCTTCTCTCTCCCTTCTCTCCTCTTTCTACACTCACTTCCTTGGCGATCCAGACCTATGTCTTTCAGTGCCACGCCGGTGAGGCCACGTTTCTGTATCTCGTCTGGTTCTCTCTGCTCAACTCAAGAAAGAAAAAAAACCAAACCCAAACTCAACTGTTGTCAAGCCGATGTGGACTCACAGCGACCCTATGAGACAGGGTAGAACCGCCCCTGTGAGTTTCCAAGACTGTAACTCTTTATGGGAGTAGAAAGCACCCTCTTTCTTCCACCAAACGACTGGTGGTTTTGAACTGCTGACCTCTCAGATCGCAGCCCAACCCATCATAACCACTAAGCTGCCGGACCTCCTTCATCTGTAGGCTCACAAATCCAATTGCCTGCTCTCTGCTCTTTAAATGCCCAACGATGATGTTCTGATCGTCCCTCAATCTGTACGTTCAGACTTCTTTCCAATTCAATGTCCAGCAACTTGATCTGTCCAGTTGCTCAGGTCAAAAACCCCACAGTCCTCCTGACTCGGCCCATGTTCTTACTGCCCCCATCCCACCTCTCTGGCTCCCCGTCAGAATGGCTCCAGAATCTGACCGTTGCCCATGCCTTCATTGTTCCCATCCTCGCCCTCTGCCGCCCTCCCCACAGTTGCCATGTCGGTGCCCATGGTTTCAGCCCCTGTGTCCGTCTGGCCCACTACGGGACCCTTCCTTTACCAAGCACGATGTCCTTCTCCAAGGATGCCTCTCCTGATGCCCGAACAAGGTGAAATCTCGCCCTTCTCCAATCTGGGTGTACCTCTCCCAGCACATGTCTCATCTGCTCTGCCAACCCCGTTGACGTAGAAACAGCAAGTCTTCTTGGAGCGGTCTCATTCATGGTCCCGCTCCCGCACGCGTCTGAGCTGATTGGAAACGTCAGCGGGCCCTGCTTTTTCACGCTTCACCGAGGTCTCCCGCAGCGGATGTCCCCAGGGAGCTCCAGCATGCGAGTTCTGGACCGGCGCGCGTGGACGTGGATTGTGGATCGATGGGAAAGGAAATCTTGACAGCTTCGACGTTTTCTTCCTTGATCATGACGTTGCCCCGAGGCCCCATTCTGAGGGTTTTCGGTTCTTCCTGATGATGTATCCTGTACTGGAGGCTGTAGTCTTTGATCCTCAGCGGGAGGTACTTCAAGTCCTCTTCACGCTCAGCAAGCAAGCTTGCGTGCCATCTTGAAGACCAGAGCCATAGGTCTCTTGACAACATACAGTTTCCCGGAAAATAAGACAGTGCTTTATATTAATTTTTGCTCCCAAAGATGTGCTAGGTCTTATTTTCAGGGGATGTCTTATTTTTCCACGAAGAAGAATACAGTACACATTTATTGTTTATTGTTTTATTAAAAGGGATCTTGCACTTCCTGTCTGCTCCGGCTGCGCTGCGGCCAACAGTGAGCTGCGCAGCGGCACCCGCTGCTACGGCCCAGAGTCCAGAGTTACGGTAGTTTCAGGGGGCCTTATTTTCGGAGAGGTCTTATTTTCGGGGGATGCCTTACTTTCGGGGAAACAGGGAAAGTCACTCTGCGGCTCACCCCTCCCCCACAGGGCTTTTTACCCTCCCTGGTGGCGTAGCATGTTTCAAGTTGAGCTGCTAATGGTAAGGTCAGCCGTTCAAACCCACCTGCCGTTCCTCGGGAAGCAGATGAGGCTGGGTGCTCTTGGAAAGGTTGAAAGCCTCAGAAACCCACAAGGGCGGTTCTACTCTGTCCCATAGGATCCCTAAGCGTCCGAAAGGCCTCAATGGCAGGGGCTGTTTCCTCTTGCTCCTGCCACCCTGGCCTCACTTCTCTCCCCACACATGTCCCAGGTGAGCCTGCACCCCCAGGCCTAGTTCTCCCTGTGGCCTGCTCTTTGCCCACAGCTGTACGGTTTGCCTTTTCTCTTCAAGTCTTTGAGCAAATGTCCCCTTTTCCAGGAGACCTTCCCTAATCACCCCATCGCAGGGTTGGCCTCAGCTGCACCCCTGCCCCGTGTCTCCCCACCCTAGTGGCAGCTCCACTAGGGAAGCAGGGGTGTCTTGTGCCCTCACTCATACACCAGGTCACCATCCGTCTGCCACAGAGCAGTTGTTCTCCAAATCTTTGTTGAATGAAGAAAGGGGCCTAATTTGGGGGAATGGGAGTAAAGAGTTCTAGGGCGAAGTGAGGTCTAGAGTCAATTGAAGAATCTTTTAGGATCAGAACAACCTTGTAGCCTGACTCTGACCCTGAATCTGGCCACACAGCCACTGTCCCCTGCACATGTCAGCTATACTTCCCTCTTCCCTCCATGCCTAAAGATGATGGATGCCCGTGGCCTTGAGCTCTATATTTGGGTCTTGAACAGCGCAGGCTCACTGGATTGGCTCAGATCGCTGGACAGCTGCTGCGCTCCCTGGTTCCCATGTGAGATGAGACAACGGCATTTCCTGCGTCACCGCTCTGTGCCAGACATACCGTCTCCTTCATGGATGTAGCCATCGAAGCGATGGCCTTCCCTGATACCCAGGTCAGAGACATGTAGACGGTTGCAGATGGTCATCAGTGAGTCGGCCTGCGGATACAGGTCCCCATCTCCCAGGCCGAATCCTTCCTGCTAGGTGCTGGCTGAGCCTTTGTAAGATTTGCTTATCTATATACAAGAACAACTCTACAAAGGTAGGGCTAGGAAAACCCATTTGGATGTATATTCCATGAATCTTTGTTTGAAGGGTTTATGGTACAGTGAGAACGAGCCCAGGGTCCCGGAGCTACCCTGCCTTAAGGCCCCTGGACTGGAGGAGCACGCCCGCTTACAGGACAGGGCTGCAAGCCACTTCCAGGGCTGGGCCTGCCTGCCTTGATCAACCTTCTGTAAGCCTGGCACCAAGGCATGGGGTGGCTGGGAACCTGGACCCCTCTCAGCTCCTACACGCCATGTGACTTTCTTTTCTGTCCTCCGCAGGTCCTACCATTTCCCAAGTGGCAGTAAACCATCATGTCAAGCCTGGAGCTCCCGCTGTTCACCAGGGGGCCCTCCAGGATGCCCATCTTGACCGACAACCACGTGGTGGACAGGGCAAAGAACATCTCAGAAGATGACTGCTTCCAGTCCCGGAACACCGTCCTGCAGGGGCAGCCCTTCGGGGGCGTCCCTACCGTGCTGATGCTCAACCTCCTCTTGTGGATGGTAAGTCCCGGCAAGCTCCCGGCGAGGGCCACAGCCATTGTTGCACATGGTGGCCTGTTCGGAAGCCGGTCGGGAGGGACAACCTGAAAGCCAGTCCTGCCTGGGGGGGCTACCCAGGTGGGTGGGTCTCAGGGGAGGTAGGGGCTGGAGGGACAATCAAGAGTCCCTGGGATTCCCTTCTCTGAGCCATTGTTCAAAGGGCCATCTGTCCAATGCCCTTGGTCATTGCTTCTCACCCCCCCCACACACACCCCCACTGTTGATGTCACCCATGGAAGGTCTGCCCCAGTGGCTCTCCACGGGCCACTTGCTCTTTCATCCAAGAAGCAGAGCAGCCAGGAAGCCAGGGAGCCCTAGGCACTGGGAACAGAACGTTGCAAGGGGGATGGCTGCTACCTGTCACCCCCATTTTGTGAAGGAGTCCCAGGGCCCCACCCCACCCCGGGGGGCTCAGGGGAAGGGTTCCCCAGCTGGAGTGCAGCAGGCCAGCCAAGGTGGCAGGCGGCCCCTCACCTGCCCTGTGTCACTGGCCTGCAGGTCATCCTTGTGCTTTACTCCTTCCTCCGGAAAGCCGCGTGGGACTACGGGCGCCTGGCTCTGCTCATCCACAATGACAGGTGAGGGAGGCTGGGGAGCTGCTTCTGGGAGGAGCTCGCTGCCAGGACCAAACCTGCTGCTTCAGCAGGGCCCAGCTGCCGATGAGCAGCTGTCTTATCGGCTGGCAGCATCTCACCGCCCAGCCCCTGGCCCAGGCATGCCTGTGGCCCGCTCACTGCAGGAAGGGGTTTTGGCAGGCAGTCACCTCTGGGCACCAGCTCCTGCTCATCTCCAGCCTGACTTTTTAATCCCAGAACTGGGGTCCTGACATTGTACTATCTGCCTACCACTGGGGATGATGGCTAGCTGCACCGGCGCTGTGGGCTCAGCCAAGGAGCGGAGGCACCAAGCCTGCTCCTGGGCAGAGGGCAGGGCGGGCAGCTGAAACCCTGTCTCTCCTCTTCTGCCCACCCTTGGCCATGCCACCTCTCCCGGCCAGCAGCCTGACATCACTCATCTATGGGGAGCAGAGTGAGAAGACATCCCCCTCAGAGATTTCGATGGAGATGGAACGCAGGGATAAGGTGAGCAAGGGTGGGGGGGAGTCCTGGCAGACCACAGGCAGCCTAGTGTTCCCTGGAGGGTTGAGGAGCTTGGGAACCAGTCCTGCTCAACCACTTCCAGACATGTGACCTTGGAGCAAGTGCTCGGCCTTGCCAACCCTTGGTTCCCTCATCTGGGAGAGGGAGGTGTTAACAGTCGCCACCTCCTAGCAGGCCAGCCGAGTAAGGGCTGGCTGATTCTATATAGTTACGAGGGTCTGTCCTCCTTAAATCTCCAACTTCCCTTGCCGCTCCACTCCTGCTGTCCCCATTCGCTGGCCAAAGCCACACCTGGCACGTTCTGTAGAATGTCCACCTCAGGCCATGGGTCTCCTCCTGCTCGCATATCACCTCCTGTTCCAGGTCCTTCCCTCCTTGGGCCATAGTTCACTCTGCCGCTGGCTGCGGGGCCCTGCAGGGTGCAGCTGCTGCCAGGAGGTGGGGCCCTGTGGAAGCACACCACACCCTGTCCAGGGGAGAGAGCACCTTCACGGGAAGGTGGAAACCAGAAAGGCCCTTGACAGCCACAGAAGACTCTCCGGGGCAGGGGGTGCTCTGGAGGGTCTGAGCAAGCTTGGCCATGGGGGGCAGCTCAGAGCAAGAGGGGAACCGGTCCTGCCCCAGCCCAGTCCCCATGACCGTTCTCCCTCTGCCCTCGCAGCCCAACTCCCGCAGGACTGGTGTACTCCTGCTTAATTATCCACCCATGTTGTCTTCACTGTCTCCCCTCCCTCTCCCTCTCACCTGCCCACCCTTCTGCACCCCGTGGCTCCACCCAGCCAAGGTCAGCAGTGGTCTCATGCTGCTTGGTCCTATGGGCCCCCATCTGCGCTGCTCTCTCGAGGTCTCTGAGAAACGTCTGACCCTGAGGGCCATCTCCTCTTCCCTCTGTTCTGTGGCAACCACAAGACTGTGCTGACCGCCTTCCAGATCCAGCATGTCTGCAACAGACCCACGTGCCCCTCCACCCACCCGTCCCTGGATTCCCAGCCTCAGACCTGATGCCCGGCCATCCACACGCACCTCCCAGCCTCTCATCCAGCTCTCTGACCCTGGCTGCTCCCCCTGCATGCCTGCTGCCTTTACCGCCCAGTCTCTGCAGCTCCAGGTCACTCACTCACTGTCAGTCTCTCGCTTGATGGTGGAGGTCGCCTCTAAGCGATGCCTTTCCAAGTGTGTCCACATGGGCTCTCCCTGCCCCCCTCCCTCCCCTGTGCCCAGAGCCAGCCTCGTAGTGGGGGTGGGTGGGGGTGGGTGACTCTCTCATCCACCTGCCCAGCTGCATCTCCCTCTCTGCTCCACACGGGCCATCCTTTGGTGCCCAGAGGTCCACCTCCCTCCCACCATAGGGTGGTCCTCCCTCTCCCCATCTTCTCAGCGACCCTGCTCTGAGTCAGCTCCTCCTCCCTCTCTCAGCACCCCCTCTGGGTCCTGTTGCACCGTCAGGGCAAGCCCGGTCTGGTCTGCACACGGGCTCCGCATTCAGTCTGTGAGGCTCCCGGGTCTGCGGGGTCGGGCTGCCCAGGCTGCTCCCCCTGCGAGCAGGGCTGGCTTGGTCGGTTCCTCACTTGACCTGGCATCTGATCACCATGGAGTGGGCCGGGCCTGGTGCCCTGTTACCTGGCGATCCCCCTGGAGCTCTGCCTCTTTCATTGCCAGGCCCTGCCCCTCACAGAGGCGGAGCTCACCTGCTGCTTGCTTCCCTGCCAGGAGGAGGGGAGCCACATCCCTCTTGCAAGGTTGTTCTCGGGTTTAGTTTCAGAAGTGCCCCTCGTTAAGGTTTTCCTAGACAATGACAACGAGACCCTCTCCTTTTGACAGTGTTTCAGAGGATCAGTCTCCGTGGCAGGCTTCTGCAGGTCAGCCTGAAGAGGGTAGATACAAGGCCAGCAGAGTGCAGGCAGGGCCTGCAGAGAGCTGGGGAATGGGGCCCCTCCCCACAGTGCCCACCTGCCGGCCAAGGCAGACAGGACTCAGTGTCCCAGCTGGCAGGTGGGGTGGCAGCTGGCTACCGTCACCTGAGCTGGCTCCTGGGAGCACCTCTGTCACCCGTCACCTGGTGGGCAGCCCCCTAGACCCCATGCACCAGGGGAGGGTCACGTCTCAGGACTTGCTCCCGGAAAAGCGACTGATGTCTACCCCAGAGGGAGGCCCTCCTCTCTCCAGCCCTAGATCCACCGTCCAAGGCTGAATTCCCATGAGTGTCCACTGACTTGAGGAGAGACAGGCGTCTCCCCCGGCCGTCACCGCTGCCTCATCCTGAGCCGCTGCCATCTGTACCAGGCTCCGTGCTGTCACTGCAGGAGGAGGGCCCTCCGGGCACCGCTGGGGTGACAGCGCTGGGCTAGGCAGGCCGGGCTGGGTTCACTCAAGTTCTCTCTCCGTCTCTCTTTCCCCTCAGGGTTTCTGTGCCTGGTTCTTCAACAGCATAACCATGAAGTAAGTGCCTGAGGTTTCTGAGCTGGGGGAGGGGAAAAGACCCTCCTGAGGATCCCTGGTTAAGATCTGAGCTGATGGACAGATGGGAGGTTGGAACTCACCTGCCCACCACCAGGGAGAGAGGCCTGCTAGCCGAGTATGCCCTCCGGGGCAGCCTTCCTCATCAGAATGGACCCAGTGGTACCCAACAAGCCTAGCAGCCCCGGCTGATGGTGCAGCTGTTGGGTGCCCAGCCCCACCGTAGCAGAGGAGCCCCCCTTCCTCACCCCGGGCCCCAGAGCAAAGTGTAGACAGAATGACAGTTGGTGAAAGAGGGGCAGTTTTTGTCTCTGCCACCCAGCCCAGGGCAGGGCCAGTGCTAATGGAGGAATCATTGCTCTCAGCTGGTCAACAACATGCTTTGTGAACTTCCACCAGGAGAGAGCGACCAGCTGGAGCCTGTGGCCCGGTTGAACTCTGTGTCTCACTGTGTAAGGGCACACGTATGCACACTGCTCTGCCCCAACCCGACAGCCTAGTGTTGGCTTGGTGTGTTAGTCTGGGTAGACTAGAGAAACAGATCCACAGAAACTCATATGTATATAAGAGAGAGTTTTCTATAAAGGGTAAGTGCACATCAAGAAAGCATCCCAACCCGTGCTGTCCAAGCCCATAAGTCCAACATTGGCCCATATGTCCGACACCAATCTACAAAGTCCTCCTCCATCTCACAAAACACACGCAATGATGCCGACTGCAGAAGGAAAGCCGAATCAATGAACGTGTAAGCATCTCAGCACTGGCAGGGGTCTCCACGTGGCTGCTCCAGCACCCAGGGCTGCATCAGGATAGGTCCATGTGGCTTCTCCTCAGGGATGTCTCGCAGGAAGTGAGCCTTGCCAGCTGAAGCAAATAACTAGGTAAGGCAGCTGCACCCTGGTCCGACCATCAGAAACAAGAGACCCGAGAACTAGAAAGGCGAGGTTCACCGAGCCATTTATCCCTCCGCCCTTCAACTAACCCCACATGTGTTTATCGGCCAGCTTGGCAGAATAAACCTAACTATCTCACCTGGGCTCTACCTGACCGCCCCCCTTCCACAGACCGCTCCTCCAGGGCCCGTCTTCCCTGGCCATGTCGCTGTATGTGCGGCCTCACTGTCCCCAGATGTGCCTCAGCCCAGCCCAGTCTGCTGACTTGCTTGTCCCCAAAGGCTGGTAGTCTTCTTCCTCTGGGTGCCTCCATGCCCACCTCAGCAGTCATCCCCCCATGCCACCCTATGAGCCACATCTTGCTCCCCAGACCATAGAGTGGGGGGCCCAGGGCCTTGGGAGTCCCATGGTGGGCTTAGTAGCAGCAGCCTCTGGCATTTGATCCCAAAGCAACTGATGGGAGGCCCTCCATGATCTTGGGCTCCAGGCCTCCTGGACCGTGGCCGGTGTCCCCAGGAAGGGCCGTGACTCATTGGTGTGCTTCAGCAGCTGGGCTCCTCGCTCACACCCGCACGGGGTGGAGAGAGAGCCATGCATTGCTTTGTTGGGGCTTGGGGCACACGAGCTGTATAAACGGAAAGACTGCAGAGACATGGGCCCACCTTCATCCCTCATCCCCTCCCACAACACCTCTCTGCCAGGACGGCCTCCACCAGCAACCCGAAGGGAGGTGTCCTTTTTACCTCTCCGAGGATGCACGTGAATGTCGGGGCTCTTGCCCGGGCAGTGCGGGATCACAGAGAGGTTCCGGGCACTGCAAGTGCAGAACAATCCATGCGGTGGCCTGACAGCCGCTGGGCCAGCCCCATGCCCGGGTACATGGGGGTGCCCGGCCCCACCCGAGCTGACCACACATCAGGTGCCAGAGAGAAGGAAGCCCTCGGGGCAGTGTGGGAGCCCCCAGCGGTGCCCATGGCTGACACACCCAGCCGGGAACCAGAGGTGATGGTTCAGTCCACCCTGAGGCGCCGTCGAATAAAGGCCTGATCATCTGCTCCTGAAACCTCAGCCCTCACAGACACGCAGGGTGGGATGACTCCTTGGCCTCTGGGTGTGGGGGGTAGTTTGGAGTGGACATTGTGGATTGTCCCTGCTGCCCAATGACACGCCAGTGGGTGTGCTCAGGGGGAGAGCGGCCACGTAGTTCGGGCCGAGAGTAGGAGGCGTGTGGGACAGGCACCCAAGCTGCAGGGGACGGCGCCCCTGGGTTACTATGGGTGCAGGTGAGTGTGAGATTCAGACCACTGGGAAGGCACAGGCAGTTGTTGATATGTCCTGTGTGTGCTCAGGCCTGTTGGTGCCTGTTAGATACCAGTGTGTGCAGGGGTGTGAGTCTGTCTGGCTGTCTGTCAGTGAGGGTCCCACCATCAGGAAGCCAGATCCAGGAAAGAGGAAGGGGAGGCGGCCTGATGTGTCCACTACCCACTGAGAATAGTCCCGTGGAAGACAGTGCCCAGCAGTTCCCATGCAGCATCGAGGAAGCCAGACTCTCAGAGGCAAAGGTCAACAAGACTCATGCTAAGTCGTCATGGGCAGGGTCCAAACGCCGGTCCAGGGCCTGTGGGAGATAGTGAGATTCTTTCCGATGGGATTTTAGGGCAAGTGTGGTTTTGATCCAGGCCTTGAAGAATGGGAAGTTTTGACATGTGGAGAAAATATGGAACTGTTCAGCAGCGGTTCTCAACCTGGAGGTCGCGGCCCCTTTGGGGGTCAAACTACCTTTCATGGGGTTCGCCCAATTCATAACAGTAGCAAAATGATAGTGATGAAATAGCAACAAAAATGTTATGATTGGGGAGTCACCACAACCTGAGGAACTGAATGAAAGGGTCGCGGCATGAGGAAGGTGGAGCGCCTCTGGTATACAGGAAGGGACTCTCCGGTGGGATGCTAATGCAGAAAAGCAGCCCGTCGAATGCCGTGCCTGATGGCATCACCAGGTCAGACACCAAGAAGCTGCAGGAAATTACCCCAAAGGCTCAGTAGCCAAAGGCTTAGCTTCGGTGTGATGGTAGGCTAAGGCTTGGCCGTTCTGCGTTCTCCTGAGCGTCCCAAAGAAGCAGTGCTACGGCTCCTTTCCTTCTTAATTGAAGGGCAGCACACGTGCAGAAAAGTGCACAAAAGTGAATGAATGTCCAGCCCAGGGTCTGCAGCCACCCATTTCCCAGAAGCCTCTGCCCACTTCCTCCCAGGCCCCAGCCTGGGCCTCCCTCCTTCCCAAGAGTCATCAGTAGCCTGACTTTTAAATATGGTTTGGTATTGCTTGGCTTGTTTGCTTGTTGTTTTTAACATTATAGATTGTTTGGTTTTATGCCTGACATACCTCATGTCTCACTCAGTGTTGTTGTGTGAAGTTTAGCTGCTGGCTACTCATTTTTATCACTGTGTAGTGTGGGTGTCTCAGAATTCGTATGTCCGTTCTACTGTTGTGAGATATTTAAGTTGCTTCTGGTGTAAGTCTGACGCAGAATCGTATGCTGTGTGCTCTGGCGTACACACCGAGGCACACCCTTGCGAGGTCACGGTGCTATGTTGTCGGGTGCCATCAAGGTGGTTCCAACTCATGGCAACCCAGTTCCACGTACAACAGAAAGAAACACCAGCCCCCCAGTTGTTCTGCGTGCGGCCCATTGATGCAGCCACTGGGTCAATCCAACCCACTGAGAACCTTCCTCCTCTTTGCTGACCCAGCACGGTGTCCCTCTGCAGGGACTGGTCCCTCCTGAGGAGTCCAAACAGGGGGACGAAATCTCACCATCCTTGCTCCCAAGGTGCACTCTGGCTGATTTGTGGCTTCACAGGGTATGTCCAAAGTCCCCTTCAGCAGGCAGTGCCCCCCGTTATCCAAAGTGCTCTGCCGGTGCACACACACCCAGAAATGTTGGAGAGCTCCTAGTGCCCCACATTCTGGCCAACACTTGGTACTGTCCAACTTGAAAATGTTAGCCCACCTGGTGTAAGTGGCTGATAGCTTAATTTAATTCAAGGGATTTAAAGAAAACTTTTTTTTTAAAGAAACCTTTTTGAACAAGTGGATGCATCCTGATAGGGAATTTTCAGATGTTCTGATTTAACTCAAGGGGTGTAAGGAAACTTTTTAAAAATAAAATAGGGTGCTTCTTTATATTAGCGCCTTGTGCAACGCGTGCACCCAGCAGTCCCTCAAAGAGCATTTAAAGAAGTGATCAAAGCAAGAAACTGCATGTTTGACGGCAAGAGTGCCCCTGGCTTGCTGCTAACTGCTTCGCTGTTCAGCGCACTCAGGCGTCACTGAGGCCTTGGCCCACATTAAAGTCAGAACTTGGGGTCGGCGGGAGGGGCCCTTGGTCATGTTCTTTCCCTTTCCCACACCTCCCCGACTCAGCTGGCGGCCACCCCGGCTCCTGAGACGTGTCCTCCTCTGTGCATCCCCCCAGGAACGAGGACCTGGTCAGCAAGTGCGGCAACGACGCGCACATCTACATCATGTTCCAGTACCACCTCATCACCTTCGTGCTCATCCTGTGCATCCCCTCGTTGGGCATCATTCTGCCCATCAACTACTTTGGAACTGTTCTGGGTAGGTGGCGCGTAGGAGGGCCCCGGCACTGGGTCACGATGAGGCCTGAGGCACGGCCTGGCAGGTGGCACGGAGTTTGGGTTTAGGCATGGGGGAGGGAGGTGTCTAGAAATCTGAATGTTGTTCTCGACTCCCACCTAACCTAGAGGCTGGAGGTTCAGGCCCACCCCCAGCGCCACAGAAGAAAGGTCTGACGTCTGCCTCTGGCTATAGATGATAGGAAAATCGTGTAGGGCTCAGGGCCACGCCGGCACACGTGGCTCGCCGTGAGTTGGCATTGCGCTGACAACAGTGGGTTTGGTTCAGGGTGCAGACAGCTAGTGGTTTAAGGTGACCAGACGTCCCGATTTTTAACAATTTTCCCAACGTCCTGCAGCATTTTTAAAAAGTCCCGATTTTTTTAAAAGAATGCACGACAAGCTAGGGTATACGGTTTTCAGCTGACATGTTGCTATTTCGCCAGGATGTGAGTTTTATCAATGGTGTCCCGCTTTACCAATGTTAAAATCTGGTCACCTTATAGTAGTTGTGTGTGATGCCAGGCATGCACTTCAGTCTTTCACGTGCCAACTCGATGATGCCAACATGCCCCCTAGCGGAAGGTGCTGGGCCCCTTCAGGTGTGGCACCTGGCAGGCATCTGGGCCCATTCAGCCTGAAGCGGCATATTCATTCATGTCTGCAGCGGCACCTGGCCAGGGGTGTGTGGAGTCCCTTTGATGGCATGTGGCCCACTGAAAAGGTCCCCAAATAGGACTCCTCCAGGTGGGCACAGCACAGCGAGTGCAGACTTTGCCTCCGAGGACTTCCGACCGCTCTCGTCACACCAGGGCGCACCCTTCCAACCAAATAACAGAAAAGCCAGGCTCTGGATGCCGGCCCCACAACCCTTGCCCACATTTGCTTCCCCAGAAACACCTCTGCCCAACCTGGCAAGTCACTGAATAGTCTCTTGGGTGGATCAGTGTCTGCAGCCCTCATGTCCTCAAGAGATAACCCCTGGCAGTGCCCAGCATGGTGTCTGAGACACCCTGGGCGCTCAGTGACCTTCACCCATCACAGGGAAGACAGACAAGGGGCTCTGTGTGGCCACAGAAGCGGGCTGGGTAGAATAGCACCATAATCCCTCAGGTGACAGCCGCGTCTCCTCAGCCCGTGGTAGCCAGCCCTTCCTGAACTTTGCGTGGCCAGTGGGTGTCCACTCCCAGAGTCAGCCATATCTCAGTCCTATTTCTGCGGGTCCTCCTCCAGAAAGCCAGTGTGGTGGCAAAGGTCATGTCTTGGAGGATGTTGGGAAATGTCCCGTAAAACCTGGAGGTGGCCAGACCAACAGGGACTCTCCTTGGCCTGGAGGACTGGCTCGGAACAAGGCAACTCCCCCTGTCCTGAGTGTGGGGCTCTTGTGGGGACTGCCGTCCCTGCTGCTGGTGGTGCTGACATTCCCGTAACAGCCCCTGGCTGGTTGCCTGGCTGGCTGGCTCCAGTGTGCCACCCGGCACTGGGGATGCCGTGTGAGCCTCGGGCCCCTCCTGGCGTGGTGCCCTGGCCAGCAGTCCCAGAGAGCACCCGGGCCTCTGTGGTTTCTGGTGGAGGCAGGGTTCCCAGCAGGGACTTAGAAGAGTACCAGGACATAGACAAGCATCCCCAGACCCGGACGTTCCTGTCGCCTGGGCATTCTGGCACCCCCACAGCTGCCCAGGGTCCAGGCTCACAGGCACCCACTCTCTTCTCTTCCAGACTGGAATAGTCACTTCGGCCGGACCACCATTGTCAATGTCTCCACAGAGTAGGTACCTGATCTTCTTACCTCCCACTCACTGCCTGGGGGCGCCAGTGGGGACAGGAGGACCAGTGAGTCTGTCCATCACGTGGGCACTGCCTTCCCTGAGAGGGGCCTGGCTTCCCAGGCCTTCCAGGGGTGGAGTGGGAGGTCAATGGTCATGTTCTCTTGATGGGAAAAGACTCCAGGAGTCTCGATGTCCCCATCTCTGTAATGGGTAGAATTACCCAAACCAGCCTCTCCTGTCGGGTATGAGGGGATGGGCCTATCGGCCTTGCATGCCCACCTCTGAAGAGGCGAGAACCTTCTATGGAGGAGGGGCTTGGGGTCCCATTTCCCCCCCACATCAGGAGATGTCAGCCCTATGTGTCTGAAGCCTGTGCCTGAAGCTCCCCCACAGCACAGGGACACTGGAGTCCCAGGACTTGAGGCCATGCCCATCTCTGCCACTAACGGGGACTGTGCACCTTCCCTCTCCTCCGTGGAGATGGAGGAACAGGGGGACGTGATCGCTAAGCCCCTTCAACCCCCACCCATCACAGTCCACAAAGCCGATGGAATTAACTATCAGCCAACCTGACTGGTGGCCAAACCAATTTGCACTGAGCAAAATGTGACCCTACTGTGCTATGCTGAGGAAATAAGTCTACTCGGTGTCTGGGCCAGGCTTGGCAGACTTCCTGACACAGCTAAAGAAGCAGTTTTAACAGGTGGGGCCCCCACACACCTGCTCCACCTTTTCCCCCAAGCCCTCAGTCCCCTGCACTCTTAGTGTGGCCTGGCTTCTATCGATCGGAACGCTCAAACCACCGGACTGGGGCCAGTCTGCTTCCCCTTCCAGTCAGCTCTCCCTTCCTGCGTCCCTCACCCCCACCCAGGGTGCGACCAGCACCAGCAGAGAGCTGCCAGCATTCCCGGGCGTAGGGGCCAGCACCTTCCTAGCAAAAAAGCAAGCTTTGGCAGAAGCCTCCAGTACCCGTAAACCCACACTCGGCCTGAACCCAGAGTTCTCTCCCTGGAGGCTACGTCACTGTCACCCTGCCTGCTCCGAGGGACAAGGCAGCCAGTCCCACAGGGCGTGTGGTGGGTGGGAAGTCAGGTGGGGCTAGAGCAGATGCAGCCAGTCAGCAAGGCTGTTTCCCCCTCCTGAAGCCTCTCCACTGGAGGCAGGTCCCACTGCTGAGAAGGAGCCTGGCCGAGGCCCCGGGCCGGCCGAGTCACGCGGGTTGGAAGCAGGATGACAAGCATGGCACTTGGTGGCCACTCTGCCTGCCCGGGAAGTCCCAGCTCAGGAGACAGCACCCTCTCCTGTGGGAGACCTCAGGCCCTGCTCAGCTCAAAGTGGCCGCAAAGGCCTGAGTCTGGTCCAGCAGGGAGGAGTCCGAGTGCTCCAGCAGCCCCAGCCTGCTCCACACTGCCACTGCTCTGAGTGACCGTGGGTCCACCACCTGCCCACCTGGCTCTTGTCCTTGTGGGGAAGAGGAAGAGAGTCCCACTCTCACCTGAGGGTGGCGCTGCGCCTACTGAGCACAGCACCAGGGCAAGCACACACTACTCACGAGCCAGTCTTCGCTCGGGTGAGCTGTGCCCTTCTCTCCCCGTGACCACCCCTTCCCAAAAGGCCGGAGTGCCTGCCCTCCCAGCGGGTGGTGCCGAGGCAAGTTTGTGTTGGGTGGGCTCCCACTCCCACCCACAGGGGCTGAGCCCACTCTGCCCCTCATCCCTGGCAGGAACAAACTCTTGTGGGTGCACAGCACCTTGGCCTTCATCTACTTCATCGCCAACGTCATCTTCATGGCTCACCACTGCTTGGGGTTCGTGCCCAAGAACACCCAGAAGGTGAGTCCCCGAGGGCTGCCCCTCAAGCCGGAGTCCCCTCCAAGCCGGGCCTCCCCACCTCCCACCTCTAGATGTGGCTGTGCTGCACACCTGGGGGGCAGGAGTTCACCTGAGCAGGGCAGCCTCTGGCCCTGGTGGGTAAGGGTTGGGCGCACCCTGGTACCTCCAATCCAGCTGGCAAACAGCTGTAGCCCAGGTGCACCCTGTGCACCTCTAGTGCCCTCTGGACCTCCCCACCGTCCAGAACCGAAAGCATCAACAAACACCTGGCCCAGGAGGGCGGTGGGGAGAGGGGGGACATCCTTCCAGAACGCTCATGCACTCTGCTGGACTGCTGGGAGAGTATGGAGATCCGCCCCATCACGTCTCCCCCGATCGGTTCTGGGTGCCCTGCAAAGCAGCCTCCAAGATAAGATTGGAGCAGACGCCAAACAAACTCACTGCATCAAGTCAAGGCCAGCTCAGAGCACCCTTCTGTGTTTCCAAATCCGTGACTCTCTCCAGGGGGTGGAAACCTCATCATCCTCTCGCCGAGCAGCTAGTGGTTTCGAACTGCTGACCTAGAGGCTAGCAGCCCACTACAGCCACCAGGATTGGCGTAGAACCCGTCTAGTTGGAAGGCTCCCTGGAAGCACGGTGGTTAAGCGCTCAGCTGCCGACTGCAAGGTCAGAGGTGTGAACTCACCCACCAGCTTTGTGGACGAGAAGCTCTGCCTGGCAATCTTTCTCTGTAAAGATCACAGCCCAGAAGACCCCCTTGGGACCCTTCTGCCCTGTCACCGGGCCTCACTGTGAGCTGGAACCCACGCCGTGACACCCAGGAATGGAAATCATGGCCTTGAGAGCTGTTTTCAGCAGGGACAACAGGGCCATGGTGACAGGAGATGCAGGGAGCACTTGGTGACAACTCCTCCAGTGCAGGCAGCTGGCCCTTAACCTGGCAGGGCAGCTCAGGCCAGTGTAGAGCACGCACCCCCCATCCGAGGGGTCCCAGCCCAGAATTGAGCTGCCAGTCCTTGGTTCGGGGGGCTGCTCGGAGGAGCAGTAGTGCTTTGTCACCCTGGCCAGTTCTGGACATGGGCGGGCCTTGCTCCCAAGGATGGGGACACTGGCTCAGCCCGGCAGGTGAAGGGATGGTGCAGGCTGACAAAGCACCCCCATGGGGCCGAGAGGAGGGTGCAGGGTATCACTGGCTCAGCTTCCAGAGGATGGAGCCACTTACCCCACCCAGGACACGAGTGCTTCTTCCCTGCCAAGTGACGGCCAGTGCTTCAGGCTGTGGGTGTGGGCACCTCTGGCCCTTCTGGGCTTGGCTACTTCAGCCCTCCTTCACGTCACCAGACGTGCCCTTCATGACTGCCACTTCTGGTAGCAGCTCACTAGGCTGCCCTCCTGGGGGGATGGCTCAGAAAGATAGTCCCCACTGCTGAGATGAAGCCTGGCACTCAAAAGAGCTCCCCCCAAGTCCTGCTTGCCCCCCATGCTCTCCCCCATCCACCCCTAAATAACTGTGGGGCTGCCCCTGGTGACTCGGAGCCTCTCCCTAGTACTAGTGGGAGTAGGGGGAGTTCTTCACAGCCATAGGGAGGGCAGAATGACCACTGGGGCCTGTGGGCAGCCCATGAGCAGCTCTTCCCAGTCCTGGCATCTGGCCCCCACCCCACCTTCCGGCCCTGCCTCCCTGGACCACAGCCATCCCTGTGCCCACAGCCAGGACATAGGAAACCACACAGGCTCAGCAGCCCGCCATCCCTGTGCCCACAGCCAGGACATAGGAAACCACACAGGCTCACCAGCGGGCTGCTGACCACAGGGTCACTTGTCTCAGCTGGGGCACCACAGACCAGGGGAGCGGGTCGTTGGCTGACCAGGCAAGGCTGTGCCAGGGGGCGCTGGTACGTAGCCACCTGAGCCTCGCCCTCCTGCTCAGCTGACCCCACTCTCCAGGAACCTTCTGCTCATATCTTTCTCCATCGGCCCTCCCCACCCAGGTCACAAAGACACTGATGGTCACCTATGTCCCCACGGAGATCCAAGATCCCGAGCTCATCAGCAGACACTTTCAGTAAGCGGGAGCTGGGCGGAGGCAGGGAGTTCCCAAGTGGACACCGGCTGGTGGAGGAGCCCGGCCCAGGTGGTGGCTCTCCTTGGGCTAGCTCAGGGGCAGCCCTCTAGAACAGGCTTTGGGAATTCAGGGAGTTGCCTGCATGGCATTGGGGTGACACGGGTGGGGCTAACTCTCCTGTCCCCTAGTGCTCCAGGTGAGCCTAAGTAGCCCCTGGGCTACTTTAGAGCAGGTCCTCTTGAGACATCCTGTCGGACCCCCAGTTCCTAGCCCCAGGGACACGCCACCGAGCACATGGTCTCTCAGAAAGCGTCTCTCTTCTGGGGACTCTGGGGCTGTGTTGGACCATCTGGGAAGGATGTGCCCCCTCCGAGGAACAAGGGCAGAATCTCCCACCCCCAGATCGGGGACCTGGGCTGCTGAGCCCCGTGGGCTGCAGAGCCGAGCAGGGCCAGAGGCAAGGGAGGCATGTCCAGCCCCCTGGGCTGACCTGAGCTCATGTTTTCGGCTGCAGGGAGGCCTATCCAGGGTGCGTCGTGACCAGAGTCCACTTCTGCTATGATGTCCGGCATCTGATTGACTTGGACGACCAGAGGTAAGATGGCAGCAGGGCCGGGGCCCGGGGGAGAAGGGGAGGATGTGTTGGCCACTAAGCTAGCTGACCTGCCCGCTGACAGGCGCCACGCCATGCGGGGCCGGCTGTACTATGCCGCCAAGGTCAAGAAGAGCGGAAGGGTGATGATCAAGACGCACCCCTGCTCCCGGCTGTTCTTCTGCAGCTGTTGCTTCTGTTTCAAAGAGGTAAGGGGCACGTCCCTGGGGGAGGGGCTTGGGCCCAGTCTCACTGACTTTCTCTCCACCATGCCCCACCTCCCTGCTGAGCTTGCTCCTCCCAGGCCACCTCCAGGGCAGCAGGAGACTTGTTCCTCAGCGCCCTCTCCCCCAGGTGGACGGCCAGGAGCCTGCCGGCTGTTGGCTGTTGACTTCCCCTGCTAGAACAAGGGCCTGTGAAGTCCAAGGGCCTTCAGCTGCCCCAGCTGCTGGCAGGGCCTTGGAGACTGTAAAGGCGGAACTGAGGGACAGGGACAAAGACGGACATAACTGACAGGACAAGGGAGAGCAGAAACAGAAATAGCTGTTTTTAGGGGTTAGGGGAGCTCCAGGACGGTTCCGTGACCCAGGCCAACAGGTCAGGGAAGTCGTGCTCAGCAGCTGGGGGCGAGGGTTTTTAAAGGGGTGGTGACGAATGTATGGCAATTAGCACATGGGGTCTGGAAACTGGGAGAATTGCTTGTCGTGGAGGCTTTCTTTGAACCAGGAACATCAGGTTTTCACCGGTTATCTTCTCTGGCGCCGGCTGCTGCTGGCCTCTGGGACGTGCAGGGAAGCACGTGCAGGGCCCGGACCTGCTTCAGCGTAGTCCAAACGGGGGCTACCTAGTTCAGACCCGGCCCCAACAGAGCCCATCCTGCCCCAACCAGTCCCGAAAAAAGAATCAGCCCCGTTATGAAAATCCTGCAAATGCATTGGACCCCTTTCTCGGGCTGTGCCCTGCTTTCCCCCGGAACTCCTCGCTGGGTCCTAACTCCGTCCTGCTCTAGGCCTGGGACCTTGGCCGGAAGTTCTGGGGGCAGGTGGGGGCTGAGCCACCGCGGTGTGGCCTCCAGGTCCGGCCCGGTCTGAAGGCCACGTGCTGCCCCAGGTGGATGCAGAGCAATACTACAGCGAGCTGGAGGAGCAGCTGACGGACGAGTTCAACGCCGAGCTCCACCGCGTCCGGCTGAAGCGCCTGGACCTCGTCTTCGTCACCTTCCAGGACGCCAGGATGACCAAGCAGTGAGCACTGCGCCTGCTGGGCCCTGAGAGGGGGCTCCACTGCTCCTCCGACACCGTCCTCCCCCCAGCTCCCACCCCCATTCCAGCCAAGGCAGGGAGGCAGGAGGAGGAACCCCCAGCTTGCCACCTCCTCACAGCTGCCACCTTGCCTTCCAGAGAATGGCCATCGTTGTCACCAGGGAGACCCAGGGTCTGGGCTCCTGGCTCCCCCATGCCCCTGCTTCAGCAGAGGGGCAGGGTGACCTTCGACTTCTTGCTCCTCTCTAGGACATCAGCAGGAACACATCCATTTCCTCCCTCTTGCCCATGTGTCACCCCCCCCCCCTTTTCTCAAGGACAGTGCCAGAGAGAGCCCTGCGGGGCTTTCTTCCCTCCTGCCTCCCGAACTCATAGTTCTACGGTCTCATCTCTCCTCCGCCCCAGCCCGGAGCAGCTCAACAGCGAGCAGGGTTAGGTCCACTCTGGAAGGTTCCAGAAGAATTCTTAGAAGGGGGTGTTCAAGAGGCCCCTGGCCCTGTGCTACCTGGAGCTTCACGTAGTCCTAAGGGTTCAGATAACCCGGCTGAGGTATGCCCTGGAACCACCAAGGAGGGGCAGGTGCTGGCAGGCACTGGAGCCCAGGTGCTGGCTTCCTTGAACATACTTCTGCCGGAGTTAAGCCTCAGCGCTGCTTCTACCAAATGGCAGCATGTCAGAAAACGAGCAAGATCATCATGTGTTGTGTTGCTTTCTACATCATACGCGCTACCTAGACCACAGACAGTCCTTCTCTCCACCCTTTGGGAGGCGGGGAAGGGAGGTATCGAACGACTCAGGGCCTTGCAGAAGGGCATCTTGTGACCCTGACCTAGGCAGCCCCCCTTCCTGTGCAGGGCTGGGGTGCTCTGTGATCAGACAGGACCGCCGTGGCAAGGACGAGGCGGTGTTGCACTTGGTTGCAGAGAGCAGGGGCTGATTCAGTCTCCCTGGACATGAGCCTGATGGTTGCCGCTTGGCACCTCGGTGGTTCCAGGGCAACACCTTAGCCGGGTTATCTGTGCCCTTAGGACTATGTGAAGGTCCAGGTAGCACAGGGCCAGGCACACAGAGGAAGCTTGGTCCCTGGCAGCTATTGACAGGAAGAGGAGGTTTGAATCAGCGCCTCTCATGTTACTCTCAGAAGCCCTGGTGGCATAGTGCTTGGGCCTTGGTCTGCTAACTGCAAGGTCAGCAGTTCAAAACCCCCAGCTACTCCACAGAAAGATGGAGCTTTCTACTCCCCATCTCGGAAACCCACAGGGTCAGTTCTACCCTGTCCTGTAAGGTCGCTATGAGTCAGCATGGACTCAGTGGCAGTGGTTGTTGGTCCCTTTAATCTCGAAGTGCTGTAGAAAGAGCTCGCCCACATGTTGACCCAGCTAAGAGCAGAAGGCATTTGCTGAGAACCATGTGGCACCCTCACATTGCCCCCTCCCTCCAGCCACGAGCCATTAGGAGCTACTCACCCCTTAGGTCCGAGGTGACATACCCAAGTCCTCAAAAGTCCCTGGCAAGCTGGTCACGGCGGCCATGGGACACTGGCATGAGATCTTCCCTATCCTGACGCCCTCACTGCAGCCCTCTGTCTCCCCTCCTCCCCGCCTTGCAGCATCATGGAAGATTATAAGTTCGTCCACTGTGGTGTACGCCCCCATCAGTCCTCCGTGACCACCGCCGTCAAATCATACCACTGGAGGCTCACCATCGCCCCACACCCCAGAGACATCATTTGGTAAGGCCCCCCCACTTCCCCTCTACTTTGAGGCCTCTGGGCTGGAAGAGAGCAACGGGGCAGGACAGAAGGAGAGACCTTCTCTCCTAGGTCCTCCATGGGGACTGAGCCCAACACTATCCAAACAGGACACCCCCCAAGGCTGTGCCTTCCCAAGCAGTGCAGCCTCTTCATACCCCCAAACTCACCCTCACAAGTCGGAAGGCCCCCCACCTTGGGGAAAGGCTTTCCTGCAGCAAGAACCCATGCCGAGTTCCCCTATGCAATATACTCAGATGGAGTCATGGTTCTGCAGTGAGCTGCGAACCGCAAGGTCGGCGGTTCAAAACCACCAGTCACTGCGAGGAAGAAAGAGGAGGCTTTCTACTCTGTAAAGAGTCACAGGCTTGGAAACCCACAGGGCCACTTCTGCCTTCATCCCCAGGGCAGTGGGACTTCCTCTGAGTCAATAGCATGGCTGACTGGGAACTGGGCAGCCCGGCGGGCGACCGTTGGCATGCACGTGGGCTGGCTGTGAGGGCGGGTACACGGGGTCCTGAGTGCGCTCCCTCCCTCCCCAGGAAGCATCTGTCCATCCGCCACTTCTTTTGGTGGGCCCGCTTCCTCGTCATCAACGCCTCCCTCTTCTGCCTCTTCTTTTTCCTCACCACACCTGCTATCATCATCAACACCATCGACATGTACAACGTCACCCGCCCCATCGAGAAGCTGCAGGTGCCTTCTCTGCTCAGGCCAGGCCTGGGGGCCCCAGGGAGATCAAAGAAGAACTCAGGCGAGGACGGGATGGGGGCCCGCTGGGACCCGGCTACAGAGCCCTGACTGCACACCAACAGCACGGTGGCAGCGGCAGTGGTATCCATGCTGGAGTTATTTTCTCCAAAGCGGGTGAAACTGGGCTCACCGTAGGGGGCTGGGACTGGAGAGGAAAGGTCAGCGGTGGATGGGGCAGGGGAGCACGAGCAAGAGGCAGGTCCTAGGGGTGGGCTTGGCGGCTTCCAGAGACAGGAGCACCCTGCGTCAGCAGGAGGTTCGAGAACCCACTGGACAGGGTGTGGCAAATGTGAGCTCTCTGGGGCTGGGGTCTCCGGTTTGCGTGGTGAGGTGTAGAGATGAGGAAGCCCCGCTCTGAGATGGACAGGAGACCTGCATGGTCTCCAGTTCCCTGCACACATCCATCCCAGACGCCGCCCTGGGGCCTGTGGCACCTGCCCAGGAACTGCAAGCCTGCCTTGTGCTGACCGCTGACCAGGGAGTTCAGAGGATGCCCAAGCTCTGGCATCCCCAGGTGGCACAAAGGTACTTGCAGACAGGTTGGCAGTTCAGAGCCACCCAGACAGCCCTCAGAAGGCAGACTTCCCAAAGTTCCTGTCTTTACAAACCCTGCTCGGCAGGCCTGCTCTCCATGCGCCCAGCCCAGCCTTGACAGCAGCAACCCGGGCAGAGGCCGCTGCAAAGCTGAGCAGTCACCTCCTCAGATAGGGTCCCATCCTGTTCCCTGCAACACACACACAGCCATCACCCTGGGTACACACACACACACACACACACACACACACACACACACGCCATCACACATCACTTGCTCACACACATGCTCACATGCACATATTCATGCATGTGCTTACACACATGTTCACATGCACACACGCTATATCACATACACTCACACACTCACCTACATGCTCCCCCACATGCAAGAACTCACACATGCTTTCACATCGACACATTCACACACTCGCACATGTACTCACACATATGTTCACATGCGTCTAGTCATGCCCTCATACATGCTCACGCACATGCTCATATGCTCACACACTCCTTCATGTTCACACTGGCACACATGCTCACACTCACCATCATACATGCACACGTACACCCACTCACATGTGCACTTGCACATTCTCACACTCACATACACTCGTGCATGCTTATATGCTTACACACTCACACATCCCATCAGACATGCACACCTGTATGCACGCATGTATACTCACACACACATTCACATGCTAGCATACTCACACATACACTCCCATGCATTCTTTTTTTCTTTTAAACATTTTATTAAGGGCTCATACAGCTCTGTAACAACCCATACGGCAACTGTATCAAGCACCTTGGTACATATGTTGCCATCATTATTTTCTAGACATTAATTTTCTATTGAGCCCTTGGTGTCAGCTCCTCTCTTTCCCCCTAGCTCCCCCCTCATGGACCCTTGATAAATTATAAATTATTACTATTTCCATATCCTACACCAACCACTGTCTCCCTTCCCCCACGGTTTGTTGTTTTCCCCCGGAGGGGGTGGTGCAGTTATGTGTCGATCACCGCAATCGGTTTCCCCCTTCACATGTGTTCTTATATGTTCACACCCTCATATGCCATCATCCATGCTCACAAACACACACTCACACAGACACACACACGCTCACTCTCACATTCTTATATGCTCACACCCTCATATGCCATCATCCATGCTTACAGACACACACTCACACATGTGCTCACACAGTCATACATATGCTTACGCACCTCACCTGCATACCTTCACATGCACACACACCGGGAGCCACACCGCTTCTGCTGTTTGCTCTCGCTTCTCCTGCCACGTCCCAATAGGCCCTGAGCAACCTGCCCTCGGGGAGCCTCCATTACTACCCTCACCACGGCCCCTCCTCCACGACTCACGGGATATGAGTAAGGGACAGGTGGGAGACATGACTGACAGCAACTGGCTCTGAGCCCCTGGGAGACCCCACCTGGCCTCAGTGTCAACCTAGCCTGCCCCCAGCTAGACAGTGGCCTGGCCAGGAAGGCCAGCTGAGCATCCTCAGGCTGTGGGAAGCTGGGAAAGGAATCCAGGGTGAAGGAGGAAGAGGATCTTAGTTTGATAGCTGCCCTGGTCCCTCCCCTCTGTCCCTACAGAGCCCAATCGTGACCCAGTTCTTCCCCTCCCTGCTGCTGTGCGGCTTCACGGTGATAATGCCTCTGATAGTCTATTTCTCCGCCTTCCTGGAGGCCCACTGGACCAGGTGAGCAGGGCTCCTGCCCAGCCTGCCCTTCCCCCACCCCCACCCCCACATACCCACACCAGCCTGGTACTTGCTCTGCATGGGGCCTCAGGGACAGGCGCAGGGCACTGAGGAGCAGGGTTGTCCCTGGGTCTCTGGCCTATTCTCTTCTGAGAAAAGGCCATCCCATGAAGAGCAAGGGGCCAAAGCCAGGCCCTCTTTGGACTACACGCAGCTTGAGTGCAGCCCCAAGGGGGTGGCACTGCAGGCAACAAGGAGCAGTGCCAGAGAGGGCATGCCAGTGGAGGGCACCGCATGAGGAGAGAGGACTGGTTTTGGAATGTGAAGTGGGCTGATGTGTCCAGAGCAAAGGAAGCTGCAGGTCCATCCTGCCTACAGAGGCCACGTGGCCTTCTGAACCAGCCTTCTGAACAGCCAGGACCTGACCCACTTGCTCATCCTAACGGTTCCCTGCGACTTGCTAATTGGATAGGAGGGCTTTGACATAACCTGGGGCAGGTGGGGCTGCCCTGGCCAGAAGGCTACATGAGTCTCCAAGTGGTTTTCTGCACCAAAAGTACCTATCTGGCAAGAAGATAGAATGGTAGTCCCAGCAAAAACCCTAACCGGCCTTTATTTGGGCTGAGAGAAAAAGCCAACAAAACAAAACACAAAACTTGTGATGATTATTGAAACTCTACAGGGATCCTGAGCGTCATTGGTAATGGCTCTTTTTAACTCAGAGATTTCTACTACATGGCATGGGTGTGCCCTCCATCTCTGTGTCCAGGGCAGACATTACTAGTCGATCATGAGTTCTCCCCACCACCGGCCTCCTGCTCCGGCACAGCACAGTTCACAGTGCCCTGTGGAGATCAGATTGATGTGCCTGATTTCCTAGCCCAAAGTGCTATCTCTCCCCTCATGATGTTCTTAGGTGATTGGCGATTACCACGTGGCCCTCACTGGTCAACATCTCTCTTTGTTTCCTTCTAGATCAAATCAGAATCTCACCATCATGTACAAGTGTTACTTTTTTCTGGTGTTTATGGTGGTCATTCTGCCCTCGATGGGACTGACCAGGTACCTCACCTCCAACTCAGTCTCCTCTTACATATATTCTATGGTAGTTGCTGAAAATCCCTTCCTCAAATAACAGTCCAGTGAATCTGGGCTTAGCATGGGCTTAATAGTGCAGTGCCTGTCATGGGCTTAGAATTTACCATCCCACTGGGAAGACTAAGGCATGCCTGCCAGTTAACTGACAGGCCAAGATGGTAAGAACACAGCCAATGTGCAGTATCCGTGTAGAAGGGGCAGAGATTACTGTGGGAGAAAAGGCTGATGAAGGTTTGCTGGAGGAAGTGGCCTTGTGTTGGAGGGCTGAAGAGTTAGGGGCAGGGGTGGCCCAGCCCCAAGTAGGAGGAGGAGCAGATAGACTGACCAGCTAGAATCTGAGATGCAAATATTTGGGGGGTTAGGGAAAAGAGGAGGGGAAACCAGGCCAAGAGGAATTGAACCCTAGGCCCTTAGCGCGAAAGTTGACTAACGAATGTCCCTGCCCTTGTTCTTGCCTCTAGTTTGCACGTATTTTTCCGCTGGCTCTTTGACGTCTACTACCTGGAGCAGGCATCTATCCGGTTCCAGTGAGTACTAGCCCACCCAGCCACGGGTTAGCCCACATGCTCACCCAGGCTTCTGTGTGTGACAGGAGCGTCACATGCCTCTGAGTTCAGCATCCTGACTTGCTCTGCTGTTTGTCCCTTGACCAAAAGCCCTGGTGGCGTAGTGGTTACGTCATGGGCTGTGATCGCAAGGTCTGCAGATTGAATCCACCAGCTGCTGTGTGGGAGAAAGACGGGCTTTCTACTCCCGTAAACAGTTACAGTCCCAGTACCTCACAGGGGCAGTTCTACCTCATCCCATAGGGTGCCCTCAATGGCAGTGAGCGGGGTTTGGGGTTTTAACTTTGGTCTGGTTGGCCCTTTGAGCTATCTGATAAAGCCTCGGGGCCCTTTCTCTGAATTCGTTTTGTTTTGTTTTGAAACAATTTTGAAGGCACATAATTTACATACCATACAATCCAATAGTTCAGCCATATCAAGAAGAGCTGTACAATCAGCACCACAATCAACTTGAGAGCAATTTCTTCTTTCTTGTTCATCGTTATCAGCTCCCCATTTCTCCCCCAACCCCCCCTGCCACACCCCCAAGAAACTATTAATCCAGTTACTGTCTCTATAGATTTTCCTATCCTGGATTCCCCATATAGAAACACACACGAACCCTAACAACAATAACAGAGTAAAACCTCAATCGTAAAGAAAGTAGAAAACATGAAACACTGGAATAAACTTTAAATGAATCAAAAAGGAGTTCAAATGAGAAGGTGTTAAATCGTGACCTAAGGACAGGGGCGATGGTCCACTCTCCAGTGCACTGTGCGTGATGGCTGCTCACACCGGGTCTGTGGTCCGAGGGTCTGTGGTCAGAGGGTTCACCGGAGGCTGAACCCAGGTGTAGTTCCCCTTTGCTTTTTTTTTTTTTTAGTGAAACACCTTTGAAGTGGCTCAAAAGGGAGATCAATGAAGTCTCTTTTACATGATCGTAGATTCACAGGAAGCCCAGGGGGAAGTGTCTGGAAGGACCTGTGTCCCTCATCCTCTTCCCCGCAGTGGTCACATCTGGAACACAGTGACGCTGGGACAACCCACGGGCCTTTTCAGTTGCCCTCATTTTGGAATGATGCCTTTCAATGCACAAAGCCAACCAAACTCACTGCCACCGCGGCGGCCCTGACGTACAGCAGCCCTGCAGAACGAGGCAGAACTGCCCTCCGGGGAGTGAAAGCGTTCTCTGTCTCTCTCTCTCTCTCTCTCTCTCTCTCTCTGGTGGTTTCCGAGAGCTACCGTGGAGGTTAGCCCGCTGTAGCCCACTGGGCCACCACGGCTGCATCTCTAAATACCTAAAAGCCCGTGAACTTTGAAGGAAACGAATTCTACTGAAATATAGCCATCAAAATCGTTTAAGAATCAGATTGGTGACATCAGATTCATTGACACGTGTCTTAACAAGGCAGAGCATTTCCAGTACACCCTCAAGCTGAAAGGGTGTTGTTTTAAAGACATCAGCATGAAGGCTGGTGTGACTTAGCCAGGCGTCTCGGACAAGGTATCATGCAGGCCATGGTGGACATCCAGCCACTTTTGACTTCTGGAGTTTCATGTTGCAAATGACATGCAAACCTACTTGTCAAGTGCCGGTAGTCAACTCGTAGCTCATAGCGACCCCCCAGTGACACAGGGTTTGCTAGGAGCCCTGTGGGAGGAGCCCTGGTGATACGGTGGGTTGTGTGTCGGGCTGTTAACCGTAAGATTGGCGGTTCAAAATCACCAGCTGCTCCATGGGAGAAAAATGAAGGTTTCTGCTCCCTTGAAGTCGTAGCTCCTCAGAAATCCCCAGGAGCCCTCCTCCCGACTCCGTGGGGGCGCTCTGATAGTGTTGAGGCTCCCAATGGGAGCAGGTCGCTGGCGCCTTCTCTGACAGAGCTGCTGGGTGAGTTCAAACCACCCACCGCCCAGCTGGCAGCCAGGCCCTGACTTCTCCACGGCCCCTCTAGGGTTCCTGGAAGCGTCTGGCGTTCTCCAAGGTTCCTGCGGTTCCACTGTGATGGGCATGCTGTTTCCCCGGGAGGTCCTTGCGGTTCCTTTGTAGTTCATCTTCAGGACAGTTTCTATCAGAAGGAAAAGGACTGTGAATGCCAGCAAAAAGGACCAACTTCTTGACAGAGTTTGAAACGACACCCACGTGCTCGTGGGTGCGTCTGTACAAGGAAGTGGACAGAATTAGGCAGAGATGGGACATGGAGCCTCCCGGAGACACCCGGGTCACCAGTGAGAGGACTGGCCCCTCGGCTCCATGAGTCCTGGAGCCCTGGTGGCACACTGTGTTCCACACAGGGCCGCTAGCTCCAGGTCAGCACTTGTAAGCCCCCAGGCCACTCTGCAGAAGGAGGAAGTGTTGAGCGACAGCCTCGGGAACCCAAGAGGCAGCTCCGCCCTGCCCCACAGGGCCCCTGTGAGTCGGAATCGACTCGACGGCAGTGAGTTTAGTTTGGGACTTTTTCCACAGCGCATGACTCCTCGTTGAAGTCGGCCAGCTGCCTCAGTAACTGGCTGGCATTTTAAGTGGAGATTGAAAATGCCCATCTTGGGAAATCCAGCAGCAATTCTCCCAACTGCTGTCAGTGTTAAATTGTGACGAAGGCCAATGCTATTGTGTTGTTGCTGTTGTTGTTGTTGTTGTTGTTGTTGTTGTCAGGTGCCATTGAGTCGGTTTGAACCCATAGCCAACCTGTGCCCAGCAGAAGGAAACACTGCACGGTCTGCGCCCATTACTGCAGCCTGTGTCAGCCCATCCTGTGGAGGCGCCCCCCCCTGTCTTCACTGCCCCTCTGCTTCCCAAACAGGATGTCCTTCTCCAAGGACATGTCCAAGGCATTGAAGTCTCTCCGTTCTTGCCTCTAAGGATGGTTCTCGCCATACTTCCTTCCGAGACAGATTGGCTTGCCCTTTTAGCAATCCGTTGTACTTTCAATGTACTTCTCCAGCTCCCCGACTCAAATGCATCTGTTTTTCCACAGCCCTCTAGTCAGTGTGTACTTTTCACATGCGCTGGGTCAGGCACACCTGAGTCCTCCAAGTACATCCTTGCTTTTCAACGCTCTAAAGAGGTCTTGTGCAGCAGATCTACCTAATGCAGCACGTCATTTGATCTCCTGATTGCTGCGTTGATGAGCGTTGATTGCAGATCTTAACAAGAGTGAATCCTCAACAACAACCTGGTCTGCATGTATCCCAACGTTGCCTATTGGTCCAGTTCTGAGCACTTCAGTCTTTACGCTGAGTTGCGATCCATATTGCAGGCGGAAATCCTTGATCTTCATCAGCAAGTGCTTCAAGCCCGCTTCGCTGTCAGCAAGCAAGGTCACGTCATCTCCGCAGGGAAGGTTGTTATAAGCCTTCTTCCCATCCTGATGCCACATTCCTCTTCATATAAGCCAGCTTCTCTGATTATTTGCTCAGCGTACCGATTAAACAAGTATGGTGAGAGGATTCAACGCTGACGCCCACCTTTCCTCGTTTTAAACCATGCAGTATTCCCTTGTTCTGTTCACACAGCTGCCTCTTGTTCCAGGTACATGCATGAACACAAGGAAGGTTCTGGAATGCCCATTCTTCTCAAGGTGATCCGTAGTTTGTTATGGTCCACACAGGTGAATGCCTTGGCACAGTCAATAAAACACAAGTAACCATCTTTCTGGTATTCTCTCCTTTGAGTCAAGATCCGTCTGACCTCAGCAACGATATCCTTATTCCACCTCCTCTTCTGAACCTGGCTTGAAGCTCTGGAAGCTCCCTATCCATGGACTCCGGCAGCCTTTATTGGATGACCCTTCGCAAAATTTTACTTTCACGTGATATCAGTGACGTCGTTCTATCATTTGAGCATTCTGTTGGGTCACCTTTCTTTGGAATGGGCACAGATAGGAGTCCCTTCTAGTCAGTTAGCCAAGTAGCTGCCTTCCACATTGCCTGACATAGACGAGTGAGTGAGTGCTTCCCGTGCTTGTCAGCTTGCTGGAACGTTTCCGTGGCATTCCATCAGTCCTGGGGCCTTGTTTCTGGCTAATGCCTTCAGTGCCGCCTGAACTTCTTCCCTCAGCACCAGTGACTGTGGCTCATGCTCACCCTCCTGAAACAGTGGAACGTCGACTAGTCCTGTTTGGTCAGGTGGCTTTCTGTGTTCTTTCTGTCCTCTTTGAATGCTGCCTGCATTGTTCCCTATGTTGCCCATAGAACCTTTCAGTGTTGCAACTTGAGGCATGAAATTTTCTTGGGTTCGTTCGGTGTAAGGCATGCTGAGTGTGTTGTTCATTTTGATTTTCTAACTCTAGCTCTTTGCACATGTCATTATAATATTTGATTTTTTCTCCTTAAGCTGCCCTTTGAAGACTTCTATTCAATCCTTTGACTTCTTCAGTTCCTCCATTTGCTTTAACTACGCTATAATTAAAAGTAAGTCTCAGAGTCTCCGCTGACACCCACTTTGATCTTTCCCCTTTCCTGCCCTTTAAACAACCTTTGCTTTCTTCGTGGATGATGGTCTTGATGTCCCCCCACAGCTCATGAGCTCTTCCATCCTTAGTGTTCAATAGATCAAATCTGTTCGTGAGCTGTTTTTGAAATTCAGGTAGGATAGACTCAACATCGTCTTTAGCTCTGGTGAACTTCTTTCCATTTTCTTCAGCTTTATCCTGAACTTACAGAGGAGCAATTGACGGTCTGTCCCACCGTCGGCCCCTGGCCTGGTTTTAGCTGCTGACATTGAGCTTCTCCATCGTCTCTTCCCACAGAGGCAGTCTCTCTGACTTCTCTGACTTCTCCATGCGTTGTTGAAAAACAACATTTATTATGAACAAGTCATTGGTCTTGCAAAATGCTATCATGCGATCTCCAGCTTCGTTTCTATCACCAAGTCCACATTTTCCCACTACGGTTCCTTCCTTTGTCTCCAACGTTTGCATTCCAATCACCACTAACTATCCATGCATCTTGATCGCATGTTTGATCAATTTCTGACTGAAATTGGATTCTTCCATTTCTTCCTCACCAGCTTTGGTGGTTGGTGCATCATGTGAATAATAGTTGTATTATTCCAACTAGAGACCCATCCTCTGGCACGAGCCCCGACAATGTGCTGCCTCCATTCATGAGGCCTTCAGTGTCTGGCGAAGTTTCAAGGCCAAGCATAAGGTTTTCAGGGCTCTTTCCTCTGAAGTGGGGACCTGAGTCTTTCATTGCTGTCTGTTCCTAGTCTGGAAGCTCTGCTGAAGCCTGTTCACCATGGGTGACCTTGCTGCCATTTGAAACAGCAGTGACATAACTTCCAGCATCACAGCAAGACACAGTACTGACAGACAAGTGGGGAAATGCTGTTGTCAGATACAGGAACTAACCAGAGGTGATGTGAGTAAACGTGATAAAGTCACGATTAGAGTAGCATGAAAGAGCTCTGGTGACACCGTGGGTTAAGCAGCGGGCTGACAACTGAAAAGTTAGTCATTTGAATCCACCAGCTGCCCTGCGGGTGACAGATGAGGCCAGCTGCTTCCGGCCAGACCAGCATCACTGTGGCTTGTTGTCTGCATTCTCAGGGGAAGAAAAGGGTTAACTGTAGTTAGACCTCTAGTGAAAATAACCAAACTCATTGTCAATGCTGGCTCATGATGACCCTATAGGACGGGGTGGAACTGCCCCTATGAGTTTCCAAGACAGCAACTCTTTGTGGGAGTAGAAAGCCTATCTATCTGACTTCCTCCCAGTGAAAATCAAGTTTGTTGTTTGGGTTTTTTTTTCCCCATCCAAGGTCATGGGACCCCCCCAGAGGTCGACCTCTGGACACTCTAAAGTCTAGGGCTACGGACCCAGGATCAGACACCAGTGCGTGTATCACGCCAGTGCATGTATTCATGTATTCCAAACACATGACTGCATGTAGACCATCCCATCCCTGCTCAAAAGAGCCACCCAGTAACTTCCAATGGTTTTTGGATAGATACAAAGTTTTACCCACCGGTCTGTCTAAAGATGATAGGCTGGTTGAACAATCTGGAGGAGAAAACAACGGGACCGACAGTTCCGGGGAACGTGGGGGGGAGGGGGAGAAAGTGGTGTTAACAAACCCAGGGACAAGGGAACAACAAGTGATCCAAATTGGTGGTGAAGTGGGTGTGGGAGGCCTGGTAGGGCATGATCAAGGGGAATGTAACAAAGAGGAATTGCTGAAACCCTGGTGGG